TTATAAAATTTTGTTGTTGTTCTCGTCTTGATTTTTATTTTATTATCTCGTCTCCAATGCAAATAGTCAATAATATCGTATGTCCATTTTATTGTTCTTTCTACGTGCCGATATAACACATTTTCGTCTCATCATTTAATTTCTGTTGTGCATGTATTGTTGTATAAAAGATATTTTAAAGTGATTCATCAGGTGAAAAACGAATAGATAGATAGATAAACCGATAAGGGGCACAATCTAGTGTACCTAAATTCATCTAGAAATTTTCATAAAAGTGACCCCAAAACGGGGCTAACTCGGTAACCCGTGGCCCGATTTTAACAAAACTTGTTTTATTCCGTTTATATTCTCATTTCATTACAAATATGGTGGTATTGTGTGCCATTTTTGATGTATTTAATTACAGACAAGCAAACAAACAATCTCAGAGTTTTAGTAGTATATAGATTTCCCTCCATTCTTTTTTTTTGTTATTAAATCCCTAATAACCTCATTAGATGCTACTTGCATACCCTGCTTTTGTGGAAGGTAATAATTAACTCATTTATGCCTTTGAACTCAAATTCAAACGTGTATAAAAAAAAAAATAGGAAATGTGCCTTCTTTTAGGGGCTTTTTTATTCTCTGTCTTAAGGAAAACTCGTAAAACAAAATAGCTTTTATATATCATCAGACAGTTTCCAATTATCTTACAAAATTACAGTAATTGAGCAAGCCAACTTGGAGTAACGAAAGCCAAAACTATATAAAAAAGTGGAAAGATGTCCTATTTTAGGGACTTTTTGTACTGTTATATGGCAAGAGTTCTAAATCAAAATAACCCATTTACACTGTCACAAAGTTTTCAATTACCATACCAAGAGCTATGGTAATTGAACCAGCCAACTCTGGCTGATGAATGCTAATACACGTACATAATGAATCATTTTTGCAGTAAGATGTTTTAAGATTTTAGTTTTTTTTGTTTTGTAATAAATTTGAATTCATTAGTCTAGTGGGAGTACTGTGAAAAGCCTGGGTATATTAAATCTGTTGATTATTTATCTGTTGTTACTATTAAATTCTATAGGCTTTTAGTTTTTAATATTTGATATTAACAAACTGGAATTTTTGTAGGTCGTTCATTGATGCAACATGTCAGGCATTGTGCTGAATGTTACCTTGCAAGTGAACACAAAGATATAAGGCTTGAAGCTGTAAGGACCTGCTGCAGATTACTCTCTCCAGCTCTTCGGGTATGGTGCATTTAGTTTCAAGAAGCTTTATCCTTTTAATCTAGAATGTTCAGGTGTTTGTGGTCTTTTCATTTAAAATTAAATCTTTTCTGCTCTAATATTAAATCGCAGTAGTGCCTAGAATTTTCATTATCTATACTATTTTCCATATTTGTTTGAAACTTTTTTCAGATTTGAAGATTTATTTTTAAGATAAATGATTGACAATGTATTGAGAAAATCTTGGTTGACAGTGAACTGAAAGAAGTGGTATACCTGTTAAATCATCCTAAGTATTGCCACAGCTTGGGTTTACTCGAGACATTGTTTTAAGCTTTTTGAAATGTCTCAAAATATACTCTGTGAATCAAGATAAAATTACTTTATCTTTCTTAATATGTAAAAGCAGTTTTACAAGAGTGTCATACAAAAATAGGTTAATTTTTGTTAATTAATTGCTGTCCCCTAACTATGGGACATTAGTGCCTTAAGACAATCCAGTGATGACTTGAGATGCTTTTTTAAAAAAAAATAATGTTAACACAGATTATAAAATTTATTGTCTTGAAAGTGTGATAAAGAAAGTAATGTAGAAATTAGTGGCATCACCATCCAGAGATATACAAAGCAAAAATTACTGGGGGGGTGGATGGCTCTAATGTCCAGAGATAAGGTGGCCACCTAGATGAAGTTCCATGAAGCTTCTGCACTATAGAAAATTTTAAAACATGACTGATATAGTTCTTTGATATACTTTTAGTAATATTCCAAAGAAGCAGGAGCAGTAATCTATCCTTTAAATTAATAACAGATATTTAATATTACTTTACATAAGTACTCCACCCAGGCTATGATCTCTTTGAATCCAAGCTTAACAAACACTCGTTAAGTTTGATTCCTATCTTGCACAGATGTTAGTGTGTGTTCTTTGAATTATTGAAGGAGCACTGTTTACATGGCATTTTTGTTATCAAATAATTGGTCAGAACTAAAAGTCAAATTGTTATTGTTTAACCACAGTTACTTTTTAGCAAAGATTTTCTTGTTTTATTTCCAAAATAAATATAATATATGTGGGTTAAGTTGTAATACAGTTAGTTTTTATTTTTGTATGCCTACACTTACTCATGGTAACAACTTTCCCTACAGTCTGTGTAATTAAAACAGTAACATGTATGCACATTTGAGAAGCTTTTAAACTTCCTTAAACTATGCAAAGATGAAATTAGGAGTAGGGAAGTGCAGATGACATCATCAAATGTGTAAGAGAAGGGTAGGTTTAGACAGTATTATTCATTGCGTAGGGACAGCTATTTGGGAAATGGATATGTAATGCCTTATAGCCTCGTATTGAGTTTTAATACTTTTCCCTAATACCCAGGTTTTGAAAGTGTAACTGTATCTGTTGTCTCTTACTAGACAAGTCAATCAGCATGAGTTTTCCCCCTAATAATAATATAAAAATCCTATGTAATGTTTCTGCAGTTAAATACCATGGCTGTAAATTGAACAGGAAGTTTTTGAAAATTTTATTTGTGGAAATAAAGTTAAATTAACCTCTGTTCCCCCCCCCCCCTTTTTGTTGGCATAATTTTTGTAAATAAATTATTATACTAGATTAGTGGCTTCGAAGTTGAAGAAATTTGATAGAATAACTGGAAGAACACGAGACTAGAAGTAATGATTACCCTTTATTCCACCAGGAAGAGATCCATGAATAGACAAACTTTATTATAAAATTGAATATGTAAACTAAACAATTTCTTGAAAATGGTGTACGGTGATGAATAAACTAAGGGGTGGTCTATAAAATACTTTACCAACTCTCTTGTTACCTGTAATGGTGAAATGGAAAGACCATTAGGCTACATGAACACCTGAAACCTCCTCCTCATATTTATGAACATTTGAGAAACACCAGGTACTCCTTTAATAACAAAATTTAGATGTTCTGTGCCATGAACCACATATTAAAAATATATATATATAACTAGAATGATTAAAAAGGATAATGCTCAAATTAACAAACACGTTTGCACCATTTTATATATGTTTTAAGGAAAGAAAATCAAACAATGTAATTTTTATTTCTTTAGTATGATTTTAAACTTATATTTAAACTTACATATCTCACTCTTTATTGTATATGTAGTGAGTAATTTTTTTCATTTAAACCTCACAAAGCTAGTTTTTATGCTTAATGCTACAAAATGGGATCCTTCCAAATGCCTCCTGGTGGCTTATGAAGAAGCCTGAGAGCTTATAATGCTAAAAATCGAATTTTGATGTTTGTGATGATCACTTATCGTGTAGACAAACAAATTTTCAAATAAAAAAATGTAAATTAACTGTTGAAGTTTTAGATCTCACTTTGGGTGTAATGAATGTTTTTTGAAGTAAAGTCTTCCATCAGAATTTATTATGTTCGTAATGTTTTATTTTCTAAAACAAGCCTGAATTTCTCTATGAATAAATTTCCATGAAACTAGATCTATAGGAAAGAGCTAATTAGTCAAAGAAAGTTCCTTGTTTCAAATAACAGAGAGAATGTTAACAAAATATTAACAGACTGACATTTAAAGTAAGTATCATTATATGGACAGTTCCTACAATGAATTAGGTAATACAGTAGTTATTTATAAAGGATTCTTGAAGAAAAAATGAATAGAATTATTTCTTACAATATAACTGTCAATTAAGAATAAATGTAAAGCTTCATGAGATGATGAACGCTTCAAAGAATGTAGTTTTGTTATTTGACTGACCAAATCTTCCTCAGTCAAGAAGTATTCTGAACTTATCTTTTACTGTAAGATTGCAACAAATAAATAGTTCAGAACAACTTGTATAATTACTTGTATGTATACTAAGCTTAAATGAGGTTTTGTTCAACTGCCCTCAACCTTGCAGTTCTTAGTTATGATTTGATACTGATTGCCCTCAACCTTGCACTTGTTGGTCATGGTTTGATACTGATTGCCCTAATCTTGCACTTTTTTGGACATGGTTTGATACTGATTGCCCTCAACCTTGCACTTTTTTAGTCATGGTTTGATACTGATTGTCCTCAGCCTTGCACTTCTTGGTCATGGTTTGATACTGATTGTCCTCAACCTTGCACTTCTTGGTCATGGTTTGATACTGACTGTTCTCAATCTTGCACTTGTTGGTCATGGTTTGATACTGACTGTTCTCAACCTTGCACTTGTTGGTCATGGTTTGATACTGACTGTTCTCAACCTTGCACTTGTTGATCATGGTTTGATACTGACTGCCCTCAACCTTGCACTTGTTGATCATGGTGTGATACTGACTGTCCTCAACCTTGCACTTCATGGTCATGGTTTGAGCAAGTTTTTGCTCCTTACCAGCAGTTGCTTTCTTTTTTTTGTGCACCCAACTTAAGTGTGAATTTACAAACACATTAATATATAATTACTTAGTTGTACTTAGATGTCAGCGCTATTTTCTTAAAAGTTAAATGGAATATGGTAATTCTGCTTTTAATTTTTGGTCATCTTTATTACTTTAGGAATTTTTGATTAAAAACATGTGATTTACTTGGAGTTTTCATAATCTTTTCAGCTTTATTAAGGCAAAATAAATTAGGGCAACTTTTACAATGAAAATTTGTCAAATACTAAACTTATGAAGTTTTTACTTATTTTCAGTTAGATTTATTTTCTTATCTCCAGTGAATCTAAATTTGTATTTTTGTCTATTTCTTTCAAAGTTGCTCAAAATAAGTGGATTTTAGATCGCTGATTGACTATTAGTAGATGTATACTCTAACTTTGTATTTTATTTCTAAGGAAAAGTTAGGCAAAAATCATTGCATTACAATTTAGTTTAATGTTTTTTATAGTTTAATTTGATTTAAAAACACCAGATTTTTTACAAAAGGTTTCTGGTGATCAAAAACACTTTTCCAGTAGATAATTTTAACTTCAAAAAACTTTAGATATCTTTAGAACTTTTTTTTTATTGTAGAATATGAAAGAAAATGGGAGATACAGTGCAACACTAATGCATACTGTTCAGGATGTTCTTACCAAGCTTTTGGTTGTAGGAGTGACAGATGCAGGTAGGTAATCTATAAAAACATTACTAATGGAGGTTGGTTATATAAGGAAATTACTGGTGCAGGTAAATAATCTATAAAGAATTTACTGAGACAGATTGATATTATAAGTTTTTCGATGCAAGTGGATTTTACAATTAAACTACCAAAGCAAGGGTAATAATGTACATGGAAGTCACTGATGCAGGTATGTTGCAAAACTAACTTACTGTTGAAGGTAAATATTACAAAAGCTTTTGATGCTGGTAAGTTTTATAAAGAAATTATTGAAGTAGGTTTGACTGTACAAATTACTGATGTAAGAACAGTTGTATGAAGGATTTATTGATGCAGGTAGGTTATATAAAGCAGATACTGATACAGTTAGGTTGTATGATTAATTTACTGATGTAGGAATAGTTATAATAAAGAGATTATTGATGCAATTTGGTTGTACAAATGATTTGCTGATGTAGTTAGATTTTATGAATAATATACTTATGTATGAAAAGTTTACTGAACAGATGTCTAGGGAACATTATTAAGCATGTAAGTTGTACAAGAAAGTCATGTTTAGTTTCATTATTTCTTCTGTGTCAATGCATTAAACAATGCTGAAAAACAGTGACTAGATGTGTATTACTCATAAAACAATAACTGCAGAAAACAGATAATCAAAATTCAGTTTGTCTTTAAGCTGTGCCTTTGGTCATGTGATTTAATCTTTAAATACATTATGCATATTTTATAATTGGTAGCACTAAAATATACAGTGGCTCTTTTACTAGGAACTGTTAGTTGTTTCAAACAGGAATTAACTTCAAGTAACCTATATACAGAATTTACAGTAGAGCTGAAAGACTGTATTCCAACACTTACCATTAATATTATATAAGTTTTAAACCTGTCTTCAATCTAGAATCTTCTTAACTTGGCATCTAAATACAACAAAAGGAACAGTGAAAAATTTAGTGCTTCTGAAATTTACAAAATATCGAATACGTTATAGCTCAGATTCATTTGACAGGAATCAAAGTTTAATGATGAATAATAGTATGATGGCAAAAACAAACATTTGAAATGTGTGTGTGACAGTAACAAACATTTAATTTTTGAACATTTTGGAATGTACTTATTCCATCTTCAGCAAGCTATATTAAACAAGATAAAATATTAAGTACAAAAGTTTTCTAAATTTCTAAAGTTCTCTCATTTTGTAGAGAGAAATTCAAATACAGAGTAAAGAGATAAAGTGGTTAATCTTTCTAATACAGGTGTGTGGATTCCACCCCCACCTGTATTCCCAAAAGTAACCATAAAGCAGTTATACTGTACCTTTTTAAGATGTATACGTATCTGCACAAAATTTTATAGATTATCACTAAACATTACAAGGCATTTGTGCACAAAGTATCAGATTTTTTAATTAAGTTTAACATTTTTTAATTAATTATTTTCAGATATTGACTATCCAACATGTAAAGTAATTTTGATTTTAAAATTAAATATTAAATTAAATTTTCAAATTTCACATGTGAAATCTCAATAACCTCCTAATATCCTCCAGCTAATTATCAACCATTTTTTTTAGAAAAAACTTTATATTTTATCTGTTATTTTCACTATTGTATCTTTGTATGGGTTTGGATGATCCTACCGACCTCGTAACCACCATAAAAAAAATTAAAAATAGATATATATCAACCTTTTTTCACTCTAGAATTACTACAAACTATAACACAAAACCACAAATGTTTAGTCTAAACAGTTTAACTCTCATAACATTTTACATGTATAAAAATTTATTATTATTATTTATTGACCTTTCAACAGTGTCTGATTAACATTACAGAAGTTGGATGACGAGGTGCACGTGTTCTCATGCTACCTTATCCAGTAGTATAAAACTGGCCTTTACAAAGTGACCTGTCTTGGCTGTGTTCTACTGGAGCAGTATTTTGTAAAATACAGTCACATTTTGGTTATAATACATTATATATACATATACATTATTACTATTTACAAATAACTTCTTAAATTTCAGTTATTTTTGTTAAATTGTAGAACAGTAAATAAAGAAGTATAGAAAACAGTTATCTCTTCTAGTTATGGACTTTGTACTCATTTGGGGTTGCCATAATTTGCTAGGCCTTATCAAGTTTCGCACGTGGAGAACGTAAAACAATAATTTTTTTTAGGTTTTATATATGCATTTTGAAATAGCAAAATATTATAAAATACTATATAAATACCACTATAATTTATCAGGCTTAGTAGCTAAGCTGTATTTGAGTCTAAAAAAATGTGATTTTTTTCAAGCTCAATAATGTTTTATCTTACCACTTGGAATCTTCCATGAAAAGAAAGGGTTTCTCACATAAGTACTTTGTAAAGGCTCAGAGAACCACGTAGGGAACATTCTGAGCTTTGAATTGGTTATTCACACGTCATAGACAGAAGCAGGGCCACTGTGTTTGATTCACTAAATCTATCGAGATCTCAGCAAATAGAAAAGATAGGAGGTTCTTATTTTTTATTCTAGCTTGTCAGTGTCGGTAATTTGAGTTCTTAATTTGAAAGAAACTATAGAGTTTTGTATTTGGACATCATAAATATCTAATCTGAACCAATGCAGCATTCAGCATATCATGTGACACAAAAATCAATATATTTAGGATTTTTTTTAATATTTGGTTTTAAATTAAAAAATAACTAATGTATAATACTAACATTTGAATTATAATCTACAATTTGATGCCAAAGTTATTGATATACATTCATAAAATTGTAGTTCAATAAAATTTTGATTATCAGTCTACAAATATGATGACATGGCCTTTGACTTGTGACCATAGGAAGACCCGTCTTGATAGGGTTAAAAATACAGTTTCATACTGAAGTCACAAATTTTAAGAATAATTAAAACTTTTTATCTACAAGTTAAACTACAAATGATAATGAAATCACTATTTAAGATTCAAAATCTATTCAGGTCTAAAGACCTATTACCTAACTCTATACATTTCAGGATTGTATATTAATACACATGGTGGCTGTAATGCCAGTTACTCCTGCGAATATATAGGAGTATCAAGTATAACTGGTAAACAACTATCAAGTCCTACAGACTCCACAATTCACAAACATAATCAAAACTGCAACCATCCCATCTTGATTAAAATATTTCAGTCATCTGATCTAGATTATCCAATATTGAACTTTTAATTTAGAAAGTTTATCTCTTATAAATGAACTCCCACCTTTAAATTATAACACAGTTTTACCACAGTTAAGTCTGTTTTGATTAACTTGTATAATATTGTTACAATTGTTGCACTATCCTATTCTTTTTTTAATTTACTTGATCCTTTTACTCTGAAATTATATTCCTATTTAGAAAATGTTTGTGTCTAATATTTTACCTTGTTTAACTTGCTGAAGATGGAATATGTAGATTCCAAAACGTTCACAAATTAAATGATTGTTACTGTTACACACGTATCAACTGTTTGTTGTTGCTGTTGTACTAATATTCATCATGTTTTAGCTTCTTGTAGTAAATCCAAATAAAGACACTTAACTGATGTTTCACACCATGATGAATCAGTCTTTCATTCTTAGCTTTTCACACTTAAGGTCAATACCACTATCATTTCACTTCTAGCAAAGCTAAGCTTGAATGTTCTCTCCCCTTATGAAAAGCTTTCAACAAGGTTGCCCAGAAAATCATTAAGTAGAAGAACCATCCTTTTTATATTGTCTTTCCAAATACATGCTACCTATTAGGAATATTAACCTCAGTTTTTTCCAAATATATACTACCTATTAGGAATATTAACCTCAGTTTTCCAAATACATGCTACCTATTAGGAATATTAACCTCAGTTTTTCCAAATACATGCTACCTATTATGAATATTAACCTCAGTTTGTTCCAAATGCATGTTACCTATTGTAATATTAACCTCAGTTTTTCCAAATACATGCTACATTTTATGAATATTAACCTCAGTTTGTTACAAATACATGCTACCTATTATGAATATTAACCTCAGTTTGTTCCAAATACATGTTACCTATTGTAATATTAACCTTAGTTTGTTCCAAATGCATGCTACCTATTAGGAATATTAACCTCAGTTTGTTTCAGATACGTGCTACTATCTATTAGGAATATTAACATCAGTTTGTGTCAAATACGTACTACATATATTAGGAATATTAACATCAGTTTGTTCCAAATGCATGTTACCTATTGTAATATTAACCTTAGTTTGTTCCAAATACATACTACCTATTATGAATATTAACATCAGTTTGTTCCAAATGCGTGTTACCTATTGTAATATTAACCATAGTTTGTTCCAAATGCATGCTACTTATTAGGAATATTAACATCAGTTTGTTTCAGATACATGCTACTATCTATTAGGAATATTAACCTCAGTTTGTTTCAGATACATGCTACTATCTATTAGGAATATTAACCTCAGTTTGTTTCAGATACATGCTACTATCTATTAGGAATATTAACCTCAGTTTGTTTCAAATACGTGCTACTATCTATTAGGAATATTAACCTCAGTTTGTTTCAAATACGTGCTACTATCTATTAGGAATATTAACCTCAGTTTGTTTCAAATACGTGCTACTATCTATTAGGAATATTAACATTAGCATGAACCAAAAGCAACTTTCCACTTTGTTTTACAACCGTAAACTGTATTTTCACAATCAAAGTTAAAGAGGTAAAATGCAAGTTCTTTTTTTTTTAAGATCGCTGTCGCAAGGGGAGTATGCATAATTCAGAACTTTTACCTTCATCTTTTGATATCAGACAACAGTATATACACACTTGGAACTTATTAATTAACCAGGTGCCAGTGCTATATTACATCTCTGTGTTAACCTATTTTTTGAAAGATCTTACTTATGCTGATGACTTATTCTTTCAGCATTTCCCATTCTAAAACAATATTTGGTTATTCTGCTCATTAGTATGGCTTTTTAGTAACCTAATAGTTCTAGCTTATAACTGGGAGTCTTTCTTGATGTTTTCAATTCAGTATAAGTATATGATATCTAGCTTATACAGGTGAATTTAAAACTGTAAGATTACACTGATTTTGTTTTGAAACTTGTTTATGTGTACATGTTTTGTATGTTAGTCCTTTGCTTTATACCTTGTTTCGTACTGCCACATAATTTATCAATTTATGATTGTGAAATATTGTTCCAAAGGCCCTAGATACTCTCCACAATTCTACCATATTATTTCTTCATATTTTGACATTCTCAGTTTGTACATAAGCTTATACGACCTCAAAAAATATTCATATCAGGACCGTGCAGGCCAATCAGAGTTTTTTCCTGTTTCGTTATTTTATTTACTAGCACGGTATTATAGTGGTCTCTGAACTGATTATTTTCTATATGTGTTTCTGTCCACTCATCATTGAACATGTTTAACCCTTTCGAAACGGGTCACGGGTGAAAGACTACATCATCTTGTTTGTTGACTCATGTTCAAAGTTTTATTGAACTACTATTTCATGAACTTATGTCAATAAGTTTAGTATCAAACTATAGACTATAATTCAAGTTTTAGTACTATATATTACTCAATTTCTTAATTTAAAAGTAAATATTGAAAAAACACAGATAAACATCGATTTTTGTGTGTCATGGCTTGTTGAATGCAGCAGTGGTTCAGATTATGTGTTTGTGAAGTCAAAATACTAAGTCTATAGTTTTGTATGAATTAGAAACTCAATTGACAAACTAGAATATAAAATAAGAACATCTTATCTTTTCTATTTGCTAAGAT